GGTAATTTAGTTCTCCGTCAAACAGCCTTTTTTTCATCCGAGAGAAAGAGAGCGAGAGAGGGAGAGAGAGCGAACGGCTGACGAAAAACCCCAAATGATTCTTTTTCTCGCATTCAGTCCGTGATGTTCCACAGGCTCGTGCGCGCATGCGCAAATGGTCGCAACAATGCTGTAGGGCGTGGGAGCGAGACGGAGACTTCTCTCTCGCACAAAAGGTTCTCATTCCCGGCGCCGGATTTAGGGGTTGGAGCTAGAAAATTGCGTTTAACTTTGAATCCATAGGAGATTCGCGGGTACAATCAAGACAAAATTTGTGGTAAATGTTCTAATAAAAAATATGGAAGAAAAAAAAAAAAATTCATCGTTTCAATGTCAAGATATAAATAGCAACATATATTAAATTCGCTCTAAATAAATAAACAAGCTATTGAAAAAAAACACTGATATTCCGAATTACAAAAAAAAATTCATTAACTTCAATTTTTTAAATGGAAAACATTTTTTTTTCCCGTCTGATCTTCACGCGGCTCTGGGGGATGAACGGTTGGGAATAGGGGTAAAATGCCTTAAACATTTTTTGTGTAGAATTTTGAGCTCTACAACTTTGTATATTACGTTTTTGGACGTACAGCGCTTTATTCACGAGTTATTTCGAAACAACGGTTTTCAGGGGTATTTTTTTTTGCTTTTTCAACCCCCGCACAAACTTGGGGAACCTTAAATATCCGCCATTAGTTTCATACGCCCAAATCACAAATTGTATCAAAAATGGAGTCTGATTAGCAAACATTCGTATGTTAGACCTTCGTTCATTGGACTAAGAGAGAATTATAAAAGGTGTATAACTTGGGGGGCAACAGCATATCGTATAGGTGACGGCGCATGCGCTGGACATTCAAGATAATTGTGTACTACCATCCGGCCATGTGTTGAATTGTTGAATCGCAAACAACTGTCGCTTAAGCTCACACGTACCGCGTCACGCTATTCATTCATATTTTTTATCCCACGTCGTCGGCACTTATTCCCACTTAAATACTCTACATTTCTTTTGCTCATCGATATCAGGCCGAAATGACAGCCTCATTTTCAGGACATGAGAAATGCTCTGTTCCTCCAAGATGAGTGAGAAGTGTGATGACAACAAGAAAATATATTTTTAACGGGAAAAGAAGGGGTTGAAAATTTTCAAGACAGAAAGAGGAAAGGGACCATTGCGCCATTCAGGAAACACACGCGACGAATTTGAACTCGTAAATACCAACACGTACAGTATAACATGGGTAACATTACTTATTTGTGACGGATAGAGAATAATTGAAGCGGCCCTCTGAGATAAGAAGTGGGTAATAAAATACAATACGATATTCCCATAGGTGTTTCAGTACTTTAATCCACCCTCAGCACTTCAAATGAAATTCAAGAAAAACTCATAATGAATGAAAAAAGTTATAACGAAATTGACATGGACATCAATAATAATGCTGATATATTCTGGCAATTATACCGTGTTTGTCGGTGGGAAAAATTTTTAGGAGGCAAAATTTTAATTATAATATATTATTGGGTACGTCGGAAAACCATTAATATATAGTATATAGTTATACTGCAAGGAGTGTGTGTGAATGACGCTTTTGAGGAGTCTAAGGTTTACAGGCGGAGCCGAATAAGACAAGGCTGTGAATACATTTGTTAATAAAAACGCAATTTCCACACGAGGAACGTTAATTATTTTACTGTATATCATATCATACATGGCGCACAGTAAATTACTATTTTAACCTGCCCAAGAACATATAATTCCAATGTTGTCTTCAGCTAATTGGAAAGTTGTTCCCACTTAATCATAATTTTTCGTGATATGCATGCGAATAACACTGGACGAAAAACTGAGAATATATAAACATTCGAAAATGTTAATCCAAACGGAGTACACATTCAAATACAATTGATTCAACAGTATTTGTAAAACATAACAGGATAATAAATATTATTAAACCATAATCACGCTTTTAATATTGAAATATGTATCTCGATAATGAGTGATGACTTTAGGAGAGAGCATTAAAGTACTTGTTTTAAAATTTATTCAATCATAAAAGTCTTGTGACTAAATCCCTTATTACCTACAGTGATGAATCCGTCATTACTAAAACTATAAAAGTAGACGGATGATGGATCCCAATTCCATTATCTGGAAAACTGAAGTAAAGGATAAAAGTTGTCAATTTATACATAAAATGTGCATTTTTTACTATATCATTATTTTTTACTATATCATTTCTTTTCATACACCACAATTCAAACGAACAAATAAAATAGTCCTAATTGATTTTTTCCAGGGCGCATACAGCCCCCAATAAGCATAAAACTTGTTACAGCACTGCACTGAAAACCCATTCACAGAATGAAACACGAACGAAACGAGGCGGCCTGGCCTCTTGGTGCGCCTCCTCCGTTCGTGTAGTCACTCAGTAGTGTCATGGAGGTAACATGGCCGAGGAGACGCGCCTAGTTCGCGTTGAAGAGAGGCTAAAGATCAAGATCGGTACGATTATCATAATCACGTGTATTCAGTATCAAACATAACATGTGTTCCATCAATCAATTGTTGTGTTTATCGGTTTTAAATATGATTACCATTGGGATATGACGATTGGTTTTTTTGGTGTTAAAAAAGCGTTTATTATAAAACGAGTAAACGCGAGTTCAATGGAGTCTCGAGGCTCCCCTCTACACTCATCCAACTTTTTTTTACCTCTCTTTTCTCCCCTCTAGCTCCCTTTTTTTCTTCACTCGATCCCCAATGACTTAAAACACAAAATTTCAGTGGTGTTTTCGCCCAAAAATAAACGATCTTTCCCCTCCCATGGTTTACCCTATTTTTCAACATTTTTTTTTATCACTACCGGTAGTTTTTCGAGACAAAAAAACGGTAAAATTGCATAGGTGAAGTGCGACGAATTTTTGAGCGAATTTTAAGAAGAAACGTAACGAATTCTATTTTTTCTATGTACAATTAATATCTATTTCAAACCATGTAAACTTACTATTTCCCTTGATTCCTCACTTTAACTCCTACGCTTCGTGCACTGCGGTTCAGAATCCACTCTCTTCGTATTCTCTTTATGCCCACAACCACACACATTAGTTCTTTTTTCAATTCATTTTACGTGAATTCACCACAGGAAATATTCTATTAGGACCAAATAGTTTCAGGTTTTGTCTTTTTGCCTGCATATTTCTTTAGTTTTTGGGCATATTTTGCTTGATGCCATCATACGCAAGCGTCTAATTCATTTGCACTTGCTCCATCAATTTTTCATAGCATCGAAACTTTTTTTCACGGTAAAAGTGTCAATAGATTTCAAGTTTCATTATTACAGGTCATTGATGTCCCATACACGAACGTTTCTAATTGTTTTCCTTTTTTTTTGTTACTAATATTTAATGGAGTTACATGAAATTATTTGAATAAACCTGTGAAGTTTTATTCGGAGTTGTGTTAATTCTTGATTTTTTCATTAATTGGAGAAACAGAGAAGAAGAAAAAGATGCGTGTGCGGTAGTTTTTAGATGCAAGGCGTTGCCGTTCATGGAACATAAAGTAGGCAAAGTAGTATATAGTATAAAAGGAAGCACTAAGAAAATGACGGAATAGTAACATCCTGTTTTTATTTCATTGACAATAATAACCTATCCATTTCATACTTTCAATAACCAATGAGTGGAAAATATTTGAATGGATTTATACAACAATGATTTTGGTTTAATAATTGTATTGAATAAATGGGCGGTATTTAATAGAAAAATTTATAAAGAAGTTTTTATAGAGAAATGAAAAAGGCGTGAATAGAGTACGGCGAGAAATATCGACGAAGACCTTCTTCATTGAGAATTTTATTGACAACAGAAAAAAATTATTGCCACCTCTCGCCTTAATTATTTCCTGTACTTTCGCATTCTTGACTTGGAGTTATGGTAAAAGGATTGATGTCAGTTTCATTGATTCATTCAGGGGTAACGATATGACCATGTGTATTCGTGAATTACATTGACACAAGCAAATTTCCAACAATTGGATGATGATTAATGAAAAAAATTCATACGACAATGATGAAACCATGGTGACCGAGTAGAATTCATCGAATTCAAGTTGTGTTCCGGGGAAGTGACTTGAATTAGATTGATGAATGCAAAAGTCAAATGCGACTCAGTGGTGCTTGGGAATGCATCAATTAAATACGACAATCAAGAAGTTTAGTTGAAAAAAAAAATTCTTGAAGAGATGTACCAAAATTGGATTATTGTGAAAGTTATTTTCTTTCAACAGCGTAATAATCGATCGTAATGAGTGAAATTCGACTTTTTTAAATGACATTTTCTTCTGAAATCATTCATTATTAAGATAATTTATGGACTCATTTCGTTCTATTACATTATACGTACTAATTCACTCCTAATTTATGTTTCCATTCTGTACATGAAGGAGAAGTAAAAAATCTGTTAAGTCGAGGCCATGGATCCCCTGGTACTAGAGATGTGTACTGTGCACTTTCCCTCGATCAAGAGGAGATTTTTCGAACCACGACGATGGAAAGGACTCTCAAGTAATCAATTAATTATCACTTTAATTAATAAGTGTATTAGTAAAATTAGACGAATGAATATCTCTTGGAGATCAATTTTTCCATCATATTACACAAATATTTGACCTTAGATTTGTGAAAGTTCATTTCAAAAAACGCATGTCAAATCATAAATACAGCACAATTTGCTTGAAGCCCTTTTCGGTAACTTTCATTGTGCGAAATAAAAAAGGTCCTTATGTTTTCGAATTCAATGATTACTTAATTATTTCAAGGATTATTCATTATTTCGTGACCTTAATTGAAAATAATTGTTTTAGCCCATTCTTCGGTGAAGAATTCCAGTTCGAAGTACCTCGAAAATTCCGCTACTTAGGTATCTACGTATACGACAGAGATAGACATATAAAGCAAGACAAAATTCTCGGAAAAGTTGCCATAAAACGCGAAGACTTGGCAACTTACCACAATAAGGAACATTGGTTTCCCCTTCGTGCAGTGGACGCAGACTCTGAAGTTCAGGGTAAGGTCCACCTCGCACTTGGTCTCCAGCCTCAAGTCGGTAACTACCAATCGAAACTCACAGTTCGAGTAATAGAATGCTCTGAATTGACGATTAAAAATGGGGGCTGTGATCCATACGCAACAGTGACTGTTAATTACAGCAATGGAAAACAAATCTCTAAACGAACAAAAATCAAGAAGAAAACAGTCTCGCCATACTTCGATGAAACGTTCGTGTTTGAACCTGAATTAACAGAGTCCAAAGACAAAGATGTTTCTCATTACTCAATCGATGGAGAAGTTGGAGAGGCGGTAATTGGATTATGGCACACATCATCCGGTATGGGAGAACCCCCAGCCTTTTTGGGAGAAGTTCGGGTAACTTTGAGAGGCCTTCAGAAACAACCAACTAGCACAACTACCGCATGGTATTTCCTTCAACCACGTGCAGCCCAACATCGACCAAGTAAAATTGCTAATTCAGCTCCGCCTGGAACACTACCTTGTCTTGGATCCCTCAGATTGAAGATTCATTATACAGCTGATCATGTTTTTCCATCCGAAATGTACGATCGTCTGCGAAATCTCTTACTCCAGAGTGTCACAATTCAACCCATAACTTCATCAGCTGTTTACATCCTCGGGGAAATTGTTGCCAGTAAGATGGAAGCTGCCCAACCTCTCGTAAGGGTTCTTGTTCATCATGGTCAATTAGTCTCTGTGATGAGGGCCTTGGCCAGTCACGAGATATCCAAACTGACTGACCCCACGACAATCTTCCGTGGGAATACTCTTGTAAGTAAAATGATGGACGAAGGAATGAGGCTTGCTGGTTTGCATTATCTTCACAGTACCCTCAGACCAGCCATGGAGCAAGTGTTCTTGGAAAAAAAACCGTGTGAAATTGATCCCACGAGGGTAAAGGATGCTAATACCATTCAAACGAATCTCAGTAATTTGAAGGAATACGTTGAGAGGGTCTTCACCGCCATTACGACATCAGGGGTACGATGTCCACCGTTGATGTGTGAAATGTTCTGGTGCTTGAGAGAACTCGCTGCTACGCATTTTCCGAAGAATAAGGAAGTTAGATACTCGGTCATTAGTGGCTTTATATTTCTGAGGTTCTTCGCGCCTGCCATTTTGGGACCTAGATTGTTTGATATTACAGCAGAACCTATAGTAAGTAATATTTCATTAATGAATCTTCGGGAATGCCAAAGAGGTGAGGAAATTTTTTTCGGGGCCCCTTTTGTCATGAAGAGAAATGAGAGCTTCCAAAAAACATCCTTCACCTATTGAAATTTCCTCCACTGGGAGATTAATAATGAATAATATTTTTACTTCATATTTTTCAGGATTCTCAAACCAACAGAACACTCACTCTTATTTCAAAAACAATTCAAAGTTTAGGGAACTTGGTTAGTTGCAGAGGTGGTGCTAGTAGTGTTTGCAAAGAAGAGTACATGGAGGGTGTTTACAGGTTCGCAGAAATACAATTTTCATTTATTATTTTTAGTAACCTCCTGTAAAATATCACGTATCTATTATCAATTTTTACAGAGAATTCTATACGGAGAAGCACATACAAGCGGTGAAACAGTTTCTAGAATTGATATCAACTAGCAGCAATAGTGGGATGGCCAGACATAGGCCTACAATTCTCCAAGAGCAACCCGTCGTTCTGAAGGAAGGGTAAGAAATCATTTTTATTGTCAACTCATTTACTTGTCGCCACAATTTTCAGCAGTCTACGCTAATATATTTTAATAGAAGTTACTTTATTTTTATGCACACTGCTGATTACGCAAAGAGGTTTGTAACTTAACGATTCAAATTGCCCTTTACATATTACATATTTTCTCATCTATCTATCTCATTTGACACTGACTACAGACAAACGCTATTCTTATAATAGAAAATTTTGAACACATTAGTATTTGAAAAACCAAAATATCACAGCAATGAAGATGATAACCATAGAGAGCAATTAAATTTCATCATAATCTGAAAAATAAAATCATAAGCCAAAAAATTATTATCAGCGATCTGCCAGCAATTACAAATATGAAAACGCAATAAACTTACCACTTTGTAAACAATTAGAAGCATAAAATGACACAAATGAGCACAAAAACGCTATTACAAAAAATTGAAAAAAAAAAGATGTCCGATACAGACTTTTATCCCTCAATGCTCACGTATCAAAACATCAAAATAAACATTGCACTGAATTCATAATCTGTCATGAAGAGTACGGCAGTCAGTTTGATTAATTAGTGGACACTGGGCAATTCGCTCCACACAAGTAAATACAAATTAGAAAAGCAATCCTATAAATTCTATCCATTTTTCAGAGTTATGATAAAAAGAGCGCAGGGGAGGAAGCGATTTGGACGCAAGAATTTCAAGCAAAGATACTTCAGACTGACTACACAAGATCTGACTTACTCAAAAACAAAAGGTAAGTCAATTAGGAAATTGCACAAATTCGAAAAATCCAATTCAACAAAACAATTCTCACGTAATATTCGTTACCATTCATATTATGACAGGAAAAGAACCGTTATGTAGGATATCACTGGAAGAAATTCTCGCCGTAGAGAGGCTACATGAAGATTCCTTCAAAATGAAAAATATGTTTCAAATAGTTCAACCCCAGCGTGCATTGTACGTACAGGCTGGTAACTGCGTGGAGGAAAAGGAGTGGATTGACATACTGACCAAAATCTGTCATACAAATAGCAATAGATTGGAAAAGTATCATCCAAGTGCTTACATTAATGGACATTGGCTTTGGTGAGTAGGGTAGAATACCCTCAAGGAACATGATGACTTCCACACTAAATGATTCAGCACGAAAGTCATAAAACAAGACAAATCAATTGCACTTGAAAATCATTTTTTTGCTTCCGGATGGAAGCTTTGAACCCGGTTGTGTGGCGCACTTGGTAGCAGCATGAGATTCACAACCTCAAGCTCCCAGGTTCGAGCCCTGGCCGGATCAAAATTCCACACTAATTTTTCATTACAAATTTCCACATAATATTCATCTGAAAATTTAACACAGTTTTCAAACCGAATATTCCACAGATTTTCCAAGTGAAAAAACCCACTCCACATTCAACATTCCCTGGCTGAAGGCCCTCGGGCGATGGCCGCGTTGGCAAGTTAACCCTTGCAACGAAAAATCGGTGAAATTTGAAATTTTTGCAAGCTTTGTAATCATTCAAATTTAACTTTTATGTGTTATACAAACCCATTGTGATCCAAAAAGCCCGAAAATACAATTGTTAGACCCTGACGATGTGAATGTGCGTATGTGCCAAAGTTATTCTTAAATTGTTCACTAATGAATTGATTGGATTGTTTTTTTTTCCAATGTAAGCCCTATCCATCGCCATTAATTAAATTACTTCAAATATTAATTGTTCAAAGTTTTAAATTTTTCAAAAATCCGTTGTCTCACGATAACTAAAAATAATACACAGGTTTCAACGCCATTCAATGATGGCTTGAAGACATTTTTTGGATGTCCTTTTGACAGACTTTGAAAATGAAGGGGATAACAATAAACTAATGTTTCCCTTCATGAAATAATTTCCGAAAATTTCGTACTTTTTTCAAATTGGTTTGAAACTATGTTTAAATATGATGCTTTGAATTAATTTAATAATAGCTCGAAATATTTGTTCGAATGGTACTTCGTCGATAATGATCTATATCGGTTGGTTCAATTTCGAGAAGACCGAAAAAAACTTTTCTAACGAATATGAGTTTGCAGTCCTAGCCGAAGGCAAAGGTTGCAATCATATGAGCTAAACAAATTTTTCCGGCCTTGTGATGAACAATATTTTTTCTCATAACGCATCCGTGAAGCGCTGCCTTACGGCCGAAATGACAAAAAATCATTTTGGCAATTTTTTTTTTTGTTTTTAAATGGAAGTTTTGTAATCGTCCATTTTTACGATCTTCTAATTTTGCTTGGAAATGATATAGAATGTCATGAAACGTCATGATGCTTTCAGAAAATGTTTTTTTTTTTTAGAGGTTTAGGAAAATCTTCAAGATTCTGGTAAAGTGATGTTAAAAACCAGATCTGGGATTTTTACCCAGTAAAAACCCTGTTTTCCTCTTTTTTACCTCTAATCATTCGTTCCCATTTCCCTCGCGGCACCACCGTGAAGTATTACTTCGCTAGGGGGATTCTCAGCTGTTTGCTCTTCCACTCTTTCCATCCAATGTACATCCTCCTAACCTGCTAAAATGTTATGTGTGATTAGGAAGTTCCAAATAGATTTCTCACCTATACTGCAACCTTGCGCGTGCGTTCCTCGTTTCTGAGTTCCTTCATGACTTCCGCAGCAAATTTGCCCGTTGCGTCCCAGGCTGTCTGTGATGACAACATTGCTTCTACTAGATTCTNTAGGGGGATTCTCAGCTGTTTGCTCTTCCACTCTTTCCATCCAATGTACATCCTCCTAACCTGCTAAAATGTTATGTGTGATTAGGAAGTTCCAAATAGATTTCTCACCTATACTGCAACCTTGCGCGTGCGTTCCTCGTTTCTGAGTTCCTTCATGACTTCCGCAGCAAATTTGCCCGTTGCGTCCCAGGCTGTCTGTGATGACAACATTGCTTCTACTAGATTCTCGGGCGAGACTTTTCTTCCCAGTTCAGTCTCCCAGGTATCCCGGATATCACTGAAACGGGGGCATGTGAAGAATACGTGTTCCGCGTTCTCGTCCACTTCTGCGCAGGTGGGACACTTCGGGGAATCTCCATGTTTGAATTTATGAAGATATGCCCGGAAGCACCCATGTCCTGAAAGCATTTGACAAAGATAGTAGTTTATCTCTCCATGGTCTCGACTTACCCAGGCAGCCACTTGCGGGATCAGGCGATAGGTCCATCTCCCCTTGGTCGAATCGGACCATTTCTGCTGCCATCGGCTCAAGCTGTTTCGTCTCTCTTGGATTTTCAGTTCTTCGGGATTCAGCGCTTCTGTTCTCTTCCGTTGATACAAGGATCTTCGCTCCTCAGTTAATATCTCTATCGGTATCATTCCTGAGATGACGCAGACTGCGTCCTCCGATACCGTCCGGTATGCACTCGCTACTCTGAGGGCACTCAGCCGATAGACAGGTGCGATTTTACGGCGAGCTTCTTGCAGCTGGAGGACGTCAGCCCAAATGGAAATACCATATGTAAGCACTGACGTCACCACTGAAGACAGCAGCGCTCGTCTCCGTTGCTTAGGACCTCCGATATTGGGCATGAGGCGTGCTAAGGTGGATCTGACTCCAGATGCCTTGGTACCCACATGCTCCGCTTGCTGCTTGAACTTGAGTCGGGCATCGATCATTACTCCAAGATACCGAATAAACGGCTGAGATGTGATTTGGTAGTCACCGACTTGCAGTGTGATACTCTCCAATTTCTTCCTACTAGTAATGAGTACCGCTTCCGTTTTATGCTCCGCGAGTTGCAATCCAACTAAATCCATCCACTGACGTATCCTCCTGAATGTCGTATCGAAGATGGAGTTGATTTCCTCCAGGTGCTTCGCCACAATCACCACCGCCACGTCATCCGCAAATTTCACGAGTCTCATCTCAGTTGGCAATGCTACCTTCAGCAATCCATCATACATGATGTTCCACAAAAGAGGGTCCAGCACCGAGCCCTCTGGTACCCCTCCGGTGACTTGGTACTCTTTAGGGCCGCTCTCTGTGTCATACTTGAGAACTCTGTCGGTGAGGTAGCTAGCTACCATCTTCCGCAGATACCCTGGGACGATCATCCTCTCGAGAGCCTCCATAATGCAGTCCCACCTGGTTGAACTGAAAGCGTTCTTGATATCTAGCGTCGCCACCAGGCAGTATTTTTTCGTACCTTCTCTCCATCTTCTCCCAGAGATCGCCTCCTTGGCGGTGTTGACGACGAGGTCAATGGCGTCGATGGTAGAGCGACCTCTTCGGAAGCCATATTGGTTATCAGCTAGCAGCGGTTCTACTGCTGCTTCTATCCTTCTGTGGATGATGCACTCGAGGATTTTCCCAGCTGTATCTAGCCTGCAGAGTGGGCGATATGATGATGGCTCGTCCGGTGGCTTCTTCCCTTTGGGGAGGAGCACTAGTCTCTGCTGCTTCCACTTGACGGTAAAGGTGCCTTCCTCCAGGCATGCATTGTATACGTCTAGAAACAGTCCTGGTGCTGCATTGATCGCTGCTTTTGTGATCATCTAGTGCCACTAAGAATGTGCTAGGATCGAAGGTGCTCACCTTCCAGCCGATTTCGCTTGTCTTCTTAGGCGTTGGTCTGATCCTTCGACCAGCGGATACCTCCCAAAGGATTGCTCGGTGATCGCTAGCGGTGTAGATATCCATCACCTGCCAGGAGCAGTTTCCTCTTGCGAGATTACTGCTAACAAACGTGAGGTCTACTATTGAGCTCTTGACTCCTCTTTCGAACGTGGGTCCATCACCGTTGTTCAGCAGGACAATGTCTAGTGAAGACATAGCCTCCAATAGTGCTACCCCAGTCGACTGCCCAGGCGCTGAAGTCCCCCGCGATTGCAATAGGGAAGTGCTGCTTCGCGTCCTCAGTTAGTCTATGCAGGAAGTCCGTGAATCCGTCAAGGGTGAGGCTTGGTGGAACATAACAGCAGTAGAAATAAATTCCATCCAGCTTAGCTACCACAAAGCCACCCTCATCAGTAGTAGTCACCATGTGTGTGTGTGTGTGTGTGTGTGTGTGTGTGCAGATTTTTCGGAATTATTTTATAAATCTTCACGAAAAAAGGAGTAAAGTCGATGTTAAAAATCTGAAATTTTGTGAAATAATTGGCATTGTTTGGGAGCATATCTGGGCGAAATTTCAGCTCAATCAGTCATGTAATTTTTAAGATACAGCAATTTCTCGAAATTCTTTTTTGCTCAATATCTCAAAAAGTAAGCGACTGAATTGAATTTTTTTGACGCCAAAATATTCCTTATGATAATATCTATCAAATCGAGTCATAATATTTCTACTTAGCCAGGGATAACTTGGTCGTAATCGGGATTTTTGTTTTTTGTCATAAAATCGGTGTTCGCACGATAACTCTGGAAAAATTTGAGATAGAAAGCTGAAGTATGGTACGATTATCTCGATGTCCTCTACTGGGATCAATCAAAATATGGATACCCGTTCATACAAAGCTTTCGAGATATTCGTGTTTTTCTCCATTCCATTTTTCCATCTCAGAGTTGATTTGACGTTCCACAATACACGTAGAGCAATTTATCTGAAACTAGTTTTTGTCAAAAAATGAAACATCGTCATTCTATCAATGATTTTCGAATCTGAATGACTTAAGTCATCTACCATAAAATTATGTTCTTTTTTGCTTGGCATTATGGCAGTGTTTAATACTGTGACAGACACAAATGTATACAGGGTCGTACATTTTGAGGATTGAATTTTGTAACGATCACGGATTTTTTACAGTTCAGGAGCTTTAAGGCTCAAATGTTCTGAGAGTGGATTTTCTTTTTCATAATTCCCAATTATGCTCTTGCTATCCACCATGCAGGTGAATAGAAATTGATAACATTGGAAACATTCCGGAAAAGTGAGACTATTGAAAAAATTTATAAACAAATAAAAATTGCTCTAGAAAATGATCATATCAGTTATGATCTTGAGTGAACTCCCTCAATAATTATCCTCATTAAAAAATTAATCAAAATTCTTCCGTGTAGAAAATAATAAATTTAGGAAAAATGAATAATCATTGGAGGAGTTCATCTAAGGTACGTGTGTAAGATAGCCATCCTCCAGAGCAACATGATTGTCATAATTGAAACTTAATCAGGCTTACCTAGGAGTAACGCGACTGGAGAAATACGTTATTGAAAAAATAAATACTTTTCTCAAGTAAATGGATACTTGACAAAAATAATTTTTTTTTCCTTAGTGTGGGAATGATATTCGGTAGAGGCTTGATTTCCACGTTATTCGAAGCCACTTTGATGTTGTAGGCCTGCGTCTTTATATGAATTCCCTGTTGAGGAAAAAATTGTCTTCACAAGCTGTTTGGATATTTTATGTGAAGAACGACTGCAAAATAATTATTGTTCTTTGGTGAAAATATCGATAATTATATCCTCAAGTTACCCCTAAAATTTCAGATAAAAAAAAGTTTTCGAGTAATTACAAATTGAAAAAAAATGATGTTGCCATGGCGGCTCTAAAAAAAGTGTAGAAACGAAAATTCGATTCCTAATGATTAGTTTCAATTGTTTCCCTTTTTTCTCAAAGAATCAAAATTCAAGTGAAAAAAGTAAAATTTTTTGAAAAATCATAACTCGCTGAAAAAAAAATTGTATCGCTCTGAAAATTGTATGAGAGCTTGGTCTCATGTACTCCTTGTAAGGAAAAAATCGGCAAAATAATCGGTAACAAAATTTTTTTCATTTCGGATTTGACGGGGAATTGCTCTTAACCATTCAAACAAATGAAAATAATGATATAAATAATAACGGAAATCGATGTAGAAAAAAAATATAAAAAATTTTCCAAGAAGTATTTTCAGGGGAATTTAACATAGAATCATTACGGCCGATCCATTCGGAAGCTTATTGAATTCAATTGGTAGAGAGAGAAAGAATCAAAAAAACCAATAATGAATAAAATAACGGTCTGGCGCCTCTGTCGAATAGGCTCGCAGCCCTGTTTGTTTTTTTATTTGCTTTTCGACGATTTCTTCAAAGATTATGTTTCAAATTGATTTAATAGTATATAAAAAAAAAGTGTTTTCAATACCATTTTCTTTAGTAGCTGTAAATGAGTTGAAAATCTAACGCGTCTAATTGAAGAATAGGTATAAGTCAATTGAATAGACTGCGGGGGAACAAAATACTATGAGAAAATGATTTGCAAAATGTCCGTTTGGAAGCATACTATTAATTTATTATCAAAAATAGTTAAACTATGATAAAGAGAAGAGTAATTTCACTTGAAAATCATTTCTTCACCTTGGGAAGAATCGCGGGACCTAGAAAAGATGGTGAAATTTTTGTACAGTTTAATCAAATATGCAAAAGGGTCTTATATAAATTCTGCTGTCTCCAGTGGATTGAGAGATGTGCATTAGACATTCCATGGAAATTCCATGTATGAAATTGATTTAATCATATTTGTCCAAATAATATATTTGATTAAACACAAACTTATTTTACGATTTAAAGGCTTTAAGATTTTATCTCTATTGAAAAAAATTACAATTATTTGTAAATAGATAGGTCCGTGGATTAATGCATATACTATTATGATTTCTAGCTGTCGAGCTGTGTCAGAAGTCGCTCCAGGTTGTAGTGAAGTGTCCCCGGGTCTAGAAGTGGGTTTGAGGATGGTTTTAGATCCAGACCGTGATCTTCAACGCATTCATTCACTGATCTTGGCCAACATGCCTCGATTGGAGACGTTGATGAGCGCCTGCGAGTGTCAGGCAGTTTACGGTGCCAGTGAGATGTGCGTTTTACCTGGTGGTGGGTCACCGATCGAGGATGTACCATCATGCTTCAAAACCCTAACTGCACTCCAAGAGGCTGCTTTTGCACTCCAACATGAACACAGAGCTTATTTCCGGCGATTGGCACGCGATACTAAATATGGGAGCAAGTGAGTACTCCAATTGCATCATTTTCAGAATTTCTTTAAAATCACACTTCAATCTCTATAACATAATAAATTTAGTAGCGAAGCGGTAAACCGGGTTAAATCGATTTTGACTTTTACCCAATTTTTTTATGAATATCCCGGAATCTAAGAGAGATAGCAAAATTTTTCTCATGACTTTTTTTATAACCCTCAATTGGCTCTACAAAAAAGGTCATGCGAGATATTCATCAAAAACTGGTTAATAGTAAAAATCGACTTAACCCGGTTTGCCGCTTCGCTACTGAATTAATAGTAAATCGACTCATTGTATTCCACCTTTTCAAAATGTGAAATAATGACTTATCGGATTTTTCCTCGTCAGCAGTGGATTCATTTTAAGAGGCCTTTTTCTATGAAAAATCAATTCAAAAAGATATATAACTCTTGAAATTCTCCCCTGACATCATTCATTATACCGAGACAGTCCAATGTTTAACGAAATGTGAAAAGTTTCATAGAGAGGAAAGTGGGCCAAAATGAAACAGTGCAAAAAAACGACTGTTTGACGCGATTGAAGCAAAAAAAATTATTTATTAAATATTTTTTTGTCAACTTTTTTTAATTCTTGGGAGTAGTAATGAAAATAATAATTTTCCTGACAGTAGAATGGAAAATTATTGAGAAATTTTGATCGGCGAAGATTTTGTCAATGGATTATTCGATTGAAATTCAGCATCACATTTTCCTTTTTCCCTCTCTGGGTCTCCCCCTGGGTCTTCCTCTGGACTTTGAATTTCGCTGTTTCATTTTATTTTCAATTAATCCATCGATAAAATCTTTGCCCGTCAAAATTACTCAATAATTTTCCATTCTACTGAATGGAATAGTATTTTTCCGGCCTGTTGCGATGGGGTTTTTTACTCGTGTGGCGTTGACCTCCGAGCCGTAGGCGAGGACTGGCGAACCACACGAGTTAAAAAACCCCATCGCAACAGCCCAGGAACAAAATGTTTCTGTAGTGATTTTCAAGTTTTCGAGTTTGGGAAGTATGTAATACCAATTCCCAGACGAAAAATCGTGAGAAGCAGTACAGAAAAATAATTATTCTCATCACTACTCCCAAGAATAAAAAAAGTTGGAAAAAAAATTAATAAAAAATTTGTTTTGCTTGAATTGGGTCAAACAGTCGTTTTTTTGACTATTTCATTTTGCCGCGCTGTGTCATTTGGCCCCATTCTCCCCTATTGGGGACGCTTAAGGCCCGTCTTCCACATCTGGTTACTTGTGAATTGCCTTTTACCCCCCCACGTTTTGCGGCCAATTGTGAAGCTCCATATCAAAATCTTCCCTGTCGGTAACAGCGGAAGTATCACCAAATGATAATTTCCCAGGGCCCCATAGGCTCCAGCCGTTTCAGGGTGCATAATTGGNTCCTGTTCCCAATACTAATAAGATAATCATAGAATCGATAAGGAATTACGTGAAATTTTCTAACATCATGTCATTGTTTCAATTGTCTTCCAGACAAGCACCAATTGGTGATGACAACTACCTCCATTTAGCAGCACGAGCGGGATTCGATAGTCAACTAAATAGGCGTGCATATGAAACTGATGGCCTCAATCAACGTTGCATTGACGCTGACCTCTATGATAATGGTAGCGGTAGTATTATACGTAGAAATGACGATCGTAAGTACGATGATTTATCATCAAATAGACGGTACGAGAATGATAACAATACGTTATCACGACAATATGAAAATCATCACTCAGATACACTGAGGAGTATTCAGAATGATCTCAATAAGTTTGATCGCAGCCTTAGCAATACACTGGGATCTGATAAACACGAGAGAAATGCCAATGACAATGTTGAAAATCAAAGGAGAACGGATATTAGTAGCTTATTAACGAGTGAAGGTATCAGTTTGTCTGATACATTTAATAGGAAATTGAGTAGTTATGATAATAAGAGAGAGTTTAGTGAGGATACTATTAATAGGAGAATTAAAGATGACGTGTCTGAAATATCATCAAGCTCGATGAGCGGTCGTGGTAACCATTGAGTTTCTAGTATTCACTCGTTTCATTTCATCAGAATAACATCCACATTTTCTAGGGATTACTAAAAATGCAACCATAGGGAGAATCGTCCAGTGAACGTGAAAAAATGGTTGATCCCCAGTATTTGAGTAGTTCCATACGTTTGAGTACGGGACGATTCACCCTCTTACGTTGTCATAAAAAGTATCAAAGATACCAATTTAGTAGCAAAAAAGGAAACTGTGATAAGTCAATTCGGATATTTTTGTGGAAGCAGTTCATATACATGTGTGCTATGATAGAGACCTCTAACAAGATATCAGTTTGAGCGCTGAAGGCCCTGTACTTGAGGGGCTGGCTATTCATCCATCTCAAAAACAAATGATTTTATTGGGGCTCGGTTATATATGTGGAGAAGGCAAATTTTTTTGCGACATTCTAGCGGCTTTATTAATGAACTGAGCAATATGATATTTAACCAGAGATGTACATCACTTTGTTCGGTTGTGGCGAAAATGAGTCTGAGAATAATGAAAAAATATCAATATTTTCATCATGATTTGTCGGTTTTTTCGATAGTATAAAGAACTAAGATGCATTTCAAATGCAGCCTGATCAAACAATGTACATTTTTGTAATACCTGCATGCAAAAATCACTTTCCGAGACGATTGAGTTTACATAAAGCGCTTCTTTTCCGCACGAGCTTGAACTTGACCACGTCATGCATAAAAACCCTTACTACCGCCTCGAACAGTGAACTCGGCAGGTATCACAAAAAATAGTCTGTGTTAAGCGTGCGGATGAAAGGGTATACTTTTAAGCACTTGTAACACAATTTACTATTCTAGTCAAATATCATGTTGTGCGGGTGAAGCGAAAAGTACCCCCTTTTTCTTTAATATAGATATATATACCAACCTCTTCACATAAATCCGCCAAATCTTTTTGTAGCGCTGAAAAAGCTTCCAACACAAACTGTCTCTTGATATTTTCCCACGTAATTAGTCCTGAACGACATACAGTAGAGTCTTTCATTTTTTTACATAATTATATTTCCACTACGACATATGCCATCCGCATTGAAACGGCATAAGCCGTAGTTGGAAACAACAAAATAAGAGCAAACAGAGGTATTCTCGGTGAAAAACCGGAGAGATAAAGGACATTGGAGTATAGGAAAATGGGAGGCTCTGTTATAATCTCATATTCCACAGTGTTGAAAAAAATGACTTGTCGCGTTTTACTTCGGCACCAGTAAATTCATTTCTATGTTTGGCTCCCCCCTAGAAATCTCCCCTAGAAATCTCAATGTCCCTCCTATTAGTTTGACAATTATCAGTTGAGAAATGTCAACATGTCTCAACTTTTTTCTAAAGAATAATTTCTTATAACTTCTTGACTAAATGTTTCACAATATGTAACATTTTTATTTTTTTCATGGCAATTGAATATTCTCATTTTTATTTATTTATTTATTATCAAGTATCGAAATTGAATGCATCAGTAGTCCACGTATGTATGTTACAAGGCTGTACAAGGTCGTAATCTCATTTTTTTATACAACATTCAGTTAAGGAATCATAAACTGTATGAAACCTTATGAAGCCCTCTCGAAAAGACATAATTTTACATATTCTTTGTTACGCTATTGGCAATCATAATCGCGCAGATGAATCCAAGAAACAAAATTCAAAACAAACTGAATTCCAACTGAAAATTTTAAGCAGAGGACACTGTGAAATTTAGAATTCGGCGGGCATTTGTAGAGACGATTGCTAAAACCAACCGCCGAGTTTTTAGATTTGTAAACCATAAAGACGTATCAAAAAGTACAAAAATGTCAAAGCACCTTAATTTTCAACGTATTTTTAAACTTAAAATTGAGTGAAATATAAATGAACTATATGCACAAGGATAGATTTTTTTAAATATTACATCTTTCTATGTATTCATACTCTACTTGTTAATAGTAACCCCCAATTCACTTATGTGAATTGAGATATGGCGAAAATTCATGCATACTATACTATCTCAATGAAGTACAATTTTTTTAGACGTTATTACACTTTCATACAAAAAATCAACATTTCTCGAACTTCATTTTCGGATTTCTCCATACACTAAAAATTAACCATAGATTGGTCACCCTATAAGGGAAACCCCGCCACGCATCGTTTTTCTTTAATTACAATTGACTGGCTAACCGAAAAAATTCAAAAAAATTTGTCTAAGTCAATTGAAGTGTCTAAAAAATTATAATAGTTTTTAGAACAACATATTCCCCAAAATTCCTAAAGAAAACAAATTATTTCGAACAGATGATTTTTTTTGCCATGTTCAATTCAATTGCCGCGCCCGTGCAGTGTGCCTAAATAACACGGCGGCGAATCCCCGCGGAGGGGACCAAAGTTGCAGGGTCGCGTTTGATGACCAGCCTCGGGCTAATACTTTTTGAAATCTGTCCTTGGTCCTTTTTGTGGATATTTCAACTATGTATGTGTAATTCAATTTTTTTAACTCAATCAGTTGAAAATTGAGGCACTTGGGCATCTTTGTAGACGTTGACCCGTTTTTATCCTCTGCAAGCCTTATAAAATCTCGGAGTTTAGTTTTTGCTGTCGAATGGAAGCTTTGTAATTGGTGATTTTTATGATCTTCCAATTTTGGCTGGAAATTATTAAATTATTTATTAAAATGCCATGAAACGTGAAGATGTGGTGTTTTTAGAAAACGTGTGTATGTATGCATTATTTTTCCCGAAATTTTTTATCAACTTTCGCAGAAAAAAAGAGTAGAGTTGAATCTAAAAATCTGACATTTCATTCCATAATTGGCATTGTTTGCGAGCCTTTTTGGGTATAATTTTAACGCAATCAGTCAAGTAGTTTTTGAGGTACAGCAATTTTTCCAAAATTGGTTCTCGCTCAATGTCTCAAATTTTTGTGGTTTCAAAATATTCCTCATAATAATATCCATCAATTCAAGTCACAATGTCCCTATGTAAATAGATACGGCTTGTTTAACACTTTTTTCACCTATAGCTTATATTATAAACTTTAATAATCGGCTCGACGACACCTGACGACTTCTGAATTTCACCGCGGTCTTCTGTTAATACTACATGATCTTGGTATTTGTCGTAAGAAAGTGATGCAATTATGGGCCACTCGTCTGTTCAATCAGTTGAAGAAAATTAAGGTAGGAAAAATTAACGAAACATTTTAATATTTACGACACGTTGAAGTTCTTCGTATAGAATCCCTCCATTGTTGTAAGTTTTAATGAACAAAGTTCGTGGCTAATTGGCAATGTATGAAACACCAATTTTTAAGATTAATATTTAAAAATGGAAAGTAGCATTAAACCGACTGTACAGTTTATCGTTATGGTTTCAATATGATATGTTACGTTTATATTAGCGGAACAAGTTCCCAACTTGATTCAATGAATTGTACAGTGTACAGAATCACTTACATAATATTCACATTCTTTTTTATTAGAATTTTAGCATTCCCCGGTTCCCTCTGCTCCCGAAAAAAAAGAGCAAAAAAAGAGTTTTGTCTTCTGTCTCTCTGTTGTTACTCCATAGATGTAAGTTATTAATTAATCGTTTTTATTATTAATATTCCTGTTAATATGATGGTAGTGTACAGTTCTTATACTTTGGATTGTAATTTTTACAATCAATGTTGGAGGAACACAACTACTTGACATATCCTTAGGGCTTTCTGTCCATTTTGTGACGGGCAAAAGGATTTTTTAAATTTCATAATGTCTTTCAATTTTATCAATTGAAGTTTCCTACATTTACTGATGGAGTAAATAATTAAGGAATTCATGCGGACTATCTGATATAGGACCGGCTACACTAAGTTTCATTAAATAAATCCCCAGTTAACTCATAAAGTTTACATAGGAACAAATTTAACCTTACAATTTAAATTGTTAACAGGGCTTGATGCAATCGGTCCATACTGTCATAATTTTCATTATTTCGCAGTAGAACCTAAAATAGTTGGAGATGCTAATTCTACTTATGAACGGTATTATTTATAAAATGAAGTACGTATTAATAATTTAGTAATGATTTTGTATATCCTTATATATTTCGTTGTGTTCATCAAATAACTATTGTTATATTCTTGAAAAAAAACGTGGGATTTTTAGAATAGACCGTGCCTTAAAGAGCGTCGATGATTAAAATACATAAAAGAGCGATACGTTCTCAGTTTATCAAAGTTGATATTTATTGAATGAACAGGAACAATTTTAATTTTAAATGTTTTAATTGATAATGCTCGATCATGTACATGGTATGCGTATTTTAATACTGTGAATAAAACAATATAAAAATAACAATTCACATGTTCCATTCAGCGTTTTCATCAATGAACATCTTCATTCTAATTTCAATGTCAGGAAATAATGGGATTGGAATGAAAAGAACAGATATTTAAATACAAATTTACTAAAACAAAACATTCCAAGTTCACGTTGAAATAAGTTAATATATCACATATCAATAATTACAATTATTACCTACAATTAGGGTCTCCATTCTTGTCTGCCTTGCATTAATTTCCATCGCATATTTGAACGAGCTCAGTACATTATTTACAAAAGTACCTGCTTATTAAATTGATATCTCACACATCTTCAAATTTCTTGTACCACCAAACCAAAAGATTGTTTCATCTAAAGTCTTGAATAATATTTCATTACCATAAATAATTACAAAGCCCTGTGATTATCATTTCTCCTCCTTCTTCATGGCCAATTTATATTTATAAGCTTTAAAAAGTGCATTTGGCAGTATTCTTATCGATTCGCAACTGCACATACTCATTTCATGGAAAATAGGGAAAAAAACTCTTGCAACACTATTCAGTTCGTTGTGTGCTCTATTCTTCTCGTGACAATTTCATTATTCGAGCAGAGTATTTCGTTTTTTTTTCTGAATGGATTGTATTCGTTCAACTTTAAGTTTCCAGTTTTTTGGGTCAGGGTAACTAATCACTGTCTAAAAAGTCCCAATATACGATTTTTAGATGGTGTCTGTCTGTATGTATGCATGTATGTGTGTGGTCTTTTTTAATTTTAGTTTTTTCGAAATTTTCATTATAGCGGATCAAGACAATTTCATGAATTTTTATATGATATATGAATATAGACTTCAAAAAGCTCTATTCATCGACACCAATTGGAATTCAATTTTCTATAGAGTTTTGAAAATATTGTTATTTTTTCAAAAATTGATTTTTCTACGATCACTCACATAATTGTTATCGAAATGGAATTAACCCTGTAAGGTGAATGAGCGTTTCCACCACTTCTACGTAATTCTTACCTTCCGTAAGAATTGCCGTTCCCACTCCGCCAGACAAAGTACTATTCAAGCCGACTTTCACCTTAGAGGGTTAATTATTACTCAACAAATTGATAACGACAGCCTCTTGTTTCACTGATAATAGAAATAATCTCACTACGGATGTCGATAACGTCGGGAGTTGACCGGAGTTGAATGATGATGCCAATTCGTCTGCCAACTTCGACTACGTCGGTTTCCTAAACTACATAAATTCATTGTAAATCTTCGAATGGTGAATTCTATCGTAAAAATGATTCATTTAAAAAATTGGTTCCCTCACTTTTGCAATTTTTTACGTCTCTTATTTGGACTGCCAAGTTCACTCTCGCGTATTATCTGCAGAGTAGATGTCACAAACAGGTCTTCTAGAATATAATTAAACAATAAATTGAAAAACATAACTTATAATTTGCTTCTCAGGGGTGACATGGGGGAATTTTCATAGTTGTTGGATATGTTAAAAAAGTACAAAGAATTAATGTAATCAATTATATGATCAAAAATATAGTTCTACGTTTCTGCTTTAAGGATGTACTACACCCTTTCGGCCAAAATTCATGCTTTTTTCATTTTTCTGGCAAATTATTGATCAGATTGACGCGAAATAATATACCGTTTTTGCGTTTTATCATTATTGACTGACTCACGAAGTTTCATGGTAGTGCACATCATTTTCCTGCATTTTTTTTAAAGTTTTGTGAATTTCCGAAAAGTTTTATAAAAAACACAGGAAAATGATTGTACGATCATGAAATTTCGTGAGTCATTAAGTAATGATAAAACGCAAAAACGGTATATTTTTTCACGTCAATCCGATCAACAATTTGCCAGAAAATACCAAAAAACGTGAATTTTGGCGAAAAGGGTATAGTACAAAAAAAAAGGTATAGTTAAAAAACTTCCTCGGACTATTAACCTCCCAATAAAGTTCCACCTCCATTTGATGAATGATGGGAAATAGGAACTTTTTGGACTATTCCTCGTACCCATCTTTGTAGTATGCCTGAAACTCTGTTTTGAGCAAAATTGTTTGACTAAAAACTGATTATTCATTATCTATCTCACAGAAGATCAATCATGAAATTTCTGCATGTAATACCACGAAAGCTTCAAAATTATCGGGTAATTCTCCATAGGTTCATTGCAAACAAACGAAAGAGTCAAGTTTTTCTGGAAAAATTGGACTACTTCGTTTGTGTGTATGGAACCTTGAGGGAAATACCCGATTAATTTTGAAGCTTGAGTGGTATTCGTGGAGTTATTATTTACAATTATAATTTACTTCATATTCAGAGTGTTGCTATGAAAAATACAATTGTTCTAGACATTGAAACAATTTTTCTTTCAACGTTCTTTATGATGGCTCCAGAGAAAAGTTGATATAATCAGACGAAGGTCTGTTATATCGGATAAAATTTTCGAATTATTTTCCCAAGACTTACAGGTTCCTTGCGTGAGAGAATAATTCCTTATGGATTCTTACCGTCCTGCTATGCAGTTCTCTCTGTCTCGTGGCGTCGACTTAAGCCGCGCGAAATTTCAGTAGATAGTACAGGATAAATTTTTAAATAGAATGGAGGGTGATAAATTTTCGTGACGCGTTCCCCTTTTTATTTTCATTCCTTTATTGACCCCATGATTATAATTTTAGTGAATCAATAACGGAACGGAATTCGATGTTGAGCGAGAATCGTTAATTGTTAAAAATTTCACCGGTTAATTTTGGAGGTTTATTATCGAATTATGAATTTGACAATGACGAGGCCAGTCAACGATTTTACGAAAAATTAAGTCGTGACATAGGTTAGCCCTTTTATTGTAATTTTTTTTGTCAAACTAAGGTTATCGGGCCAGTAGGTGTTTGGGTCGATTA